GATATTACACGGTCAATGCCGCTGTCATCCTTCTGCGTGAGCGCGCTGCCAGTTGCAAAATTGCTTGCATCGCAGACGACGATAAAGAGCTTATCCGCTTCTGGCGATGCCAAGACCGTTGCCTCTACACGAGATTGCTTCACTGAAGTGAACGCATCTTCTTGTTCCTTTGACCAAGTCCATTCTGTAACCTTTTTCAAAAGATCAGACAATGGCTTATTCTGCTCCGCATAATTCTTGCTGTACTTATGCAAGTAGCTAGCGAGCCCAAGGAATTGGCGCAGATCCTTCACATTACGTGGAACTGGCCATTCCTTGACAGCCTTTACCTTTTCTGGGTCTGCTCGTACACCATGTATACCTACGATACAGCCCAGCACAGGTATCTCGAGGACCCCTATTACGAGCTTTGCAAGTTTACGTATAATTGGGCGTCACTCAGAGTCTGCAACACAGCTTCTAAATGACGCTTGTGCGACTCTAGTGCTCTCAGCCCGTCCTCGTCCCTATTATAAGCGAATACATTGTCAAAGTGATGGGCTCGTAGGCACGGCGCTGACGCATCACGTGAGCCACCACTCGGTTGAATGTTGTCGGAGCATTTTTTAACCCTTGTGGCATCACAAGCCACTCCCACAGCATACGGCTTGGGGTGCTTACTACCGTTTTGGCTACATCGATATCTCTCATGAGAACCTGATAGTAGCCATCCTTCAGATCCAACGCGGAAAAGATAGTTGACTTTCCCATGGAATTCAACAAAACATCTTTCCGCGGGATCTGCGTTTGCGCCGGGATGGTGGCCGTGTTCAGCTTGTTATAAGCATGAACCACGCGTAATCCACCCGTTGCTTTACGCACACAGAAGGTTGGGCAGCAATGAGGCGACTTGCTCTCACGTACATGTCTTGCCTTGGCTAACTTGTCGAAGAACTCATCGATGTAATCGACTTATTATTTCGGTAACGGCCACTGCCTGGTCACACAATACTTAGTGCCAATCTCCAGGTCAATCTCGTGCCTGATGCCCCTATTGGCCGGTAGGCGTCTCGGCACTTCTGCTGGAAACACATTACGGTGTTTTCACAGAACATCATAGAACGGGCTGTCCTTCAAGGCATCCCAGCCTTGAGCAGCGAACCGTTTCTTCTTGTCGATCTCTAAGACTCTCTCATCCATTGTGGATGAAGAGCAACAGTCCACCACGTTCTCTTCTGGAACTGGTGCGACTATCTCGTGGAAATTTCCTTCCTTTAGATTGGACAGGAACAGATCCCACGTCATCTCCGAGAGATTTACGATCTCCTCGGCAGATGCCAAGACAAGTTGGAGCACCTCAACCTAGGATGCCTCCGGCATTTTGTCTTCGACGACCTCGAACAACTTGTTCGTAGGTCCGTCCTCTTGAACCGAGACTGATCCAAGGCTCACTTGTTTCGACGTGCCCTTGAACGTCTTAATACGTCTGGTGCTCGTTGTCCGAGCCACCACGACCTTTGACCAGGAAGAAGGTGTCGTTGCTGTATTAGCCAACGCACTCCTTCCAACTGCACCATGATCTTGGCATTGTGCCGGTTCTTGTGGCGCTTGACTTCCTGTCATCCCACTATCAACTGCAACAGACTCTCTTGGCTCTGTGCAGGGACATTGGACGCATGACTACCTGTCATCGTCCCATTCACTACACCAGTCTCCTCGAGCTGGGTAGGAATTTGTGTCACCTTACTTCCAGTCAGGACGCTTCCAACTACTTCAGGCTCAACGAGCTGGGTAGTACCTGGTGTCGATTGACATACCTTCATCGCTTCCTTGACTGTGTTTGACACAGCATCAGTCACATAGGCATCTCGAAGGAGCACATCCATTCTGGTGTCCTGCGTAGAACTATCTACTGTGCGTGTCGCCAGTCTATCCATGGTTGGTGTTTAGCCAACCAAGGCATTCCTAGGATAAGGTCATACGGAGTCTCCATACCGAGCACTGTGAGCTTATTTTTACAAGAGAAGTCATTTAAACTGAAGGCGAGTTCAATTTGAATTCTCTATGATTTTACGAGCGCGCCTTTCGCTAAACGAACGATCGCCTATTCTTGCTGGCCATCCTGGCAAAGCGACTCAAAACTCGCCGTTCTCTTTTTTAGAGTCGCAAGTTTCACAAAGTTTTGTGATGCACCCGAATCCACGAGAAGGGTCATCACTTGGTCATAGCCTCGTACTCGAGCGCTATAGACCACGCGATGAGGTACGACCTTTCGGTACCTCAAAGAATATGCTACCCATTTGTTTGATAGCGCTAAACATAGAGGTAGCTTCAGAGTCCGCGACAGTAGGGCATCCCGACCCTGCTGCGCTACCACATTCCAGACCCATCTTAGACAGGTGCTGAACGCGTGCGTCGTGCACGCTGATTTTTCACACTTCCTTTCAGGTAGGGAGACTTCTTGCTGTCTGCCTTAGCACCAGCAGCAAATTTGGCATTGCAGCAGGCCATATGATGGCCTCGCTTTTGCCGCAATTGTAGTATACCACGCCTGCATTGCCTAACTCCATTGGAGTGGCATCCGACCTCTTGGCCGACGGCTTACAATAAGCTGTCGCCGAGGCACTTTTGTATAATTTCTCTTTAACCATGGAAATTTCAATTGCCTCCTCCATCGAGTTTGGAACCTTTCGAAAAAGGACCTGACGAGATGTGCGGTGCCGTAGTCCCTTCATGAGCGTAGGCACCTTAATGTGCTCCGGTACCGACCCACAGCAATGAACTCAGACAGCGAGCGCATTTCATGCCCATACTTTTGCAGAAAACGTTTCGCATGTCGTGCTTCATAGAAGCGCCAAAGAAACACTTCATTGAGGCGGCTGTTACATGGCACGAATCTTGGTTTAAATGATCGTCCATTATGGAAACGCATAACGCGTTTGCCATCAGCGCAGAGTATGCTCACTCTGATGCTTCGCCACGCAAATTTTGTTATGGCATACGATACCATCCTGGTGTCGCCTTCTAAGAGCTGCGTCATACCGCATTGCTTCACTGCTATAATCCAGTGGACAATCGTATGTGAGGCAGTCCCAAAAAACTTCGGAGGGTCCATCCCAGTAAGCCTTGGCTAATCATATCGGGCGAAGAGCGTCTCAACAGTTCTGTCGAGAAGCTCATTCTGAGCTTGATCACGCAAAAACTCATTCTGAGTATAGCTGATGGACATAGCCGTTGCTTGGCTGCTTGCCTCGGACGCGTTTCTACGCTGTCCTAGTACAAACGCCTTGAATTTCTCCAACTGAGTAACATGTTGCTCAGGAGAACAACTCAAGAGGTTGGTCAGGGCTTGTTCACCAAGTGCCTGCACCAAATGCTCTGCCAACTCCCTATGATGTTGGGAAAGGTGAGAAATTTATCTGTAATTCATATTGAGGGACATCCGTGGCCACACGAATGTTCAGAGAGACGGGTCGTAGGAAGGACTACTAGTGCTACCAAGTGTAGACGGGCACTTCAAAGAAGCTGCCACGTGTTACGAGCAGCAGCATGAGAAAGCGGTAGACCGTCTTACCTCCGCGTGCTTTGGTGGGTGTGAGTCGGCGCCGATGCGTCCGCACACAACTGTTACCGGTCGTCTTAAACGAACAGTTCAACAAACTTAAGAACAAACACCTAACTGCGTCGCGAAAGCTTTTTCCGGTCTTCCTGTGCGCAGTAAGTGTAATGTAGTAAAGTCAAGACTAACTACATTTAACCGAAAATAGATTAAGTATAAATCTAATTACTGATTAAACAATTAAATGTAATGATTCGCGTCTCTTTTGCGTATCCATACAAGCGAGAGTTTATATATAAGCTCGCTGATGACGTCCGTCTGTGACGTCACCAAGACGCCTAGTTACAAATCCTCGTCATCCCTGTCGAATGCGAATCCATAAATGGATATTACTTACACGTGGGTGAGGCACATTGATGTGCCCCGTCTAAGTGGGAGGTCTAAGGTACCGCGTACCCTCTAAGATTTCCCGTTAAGTATCATATACTTCACGGACTCGTGTAACTATGAACCCGTTACATGTTGAGTTCATATACGGGGCTCTTCACCAATGAGTCGCTTGGCTTTTAAAGGACGAATTAAATTCTTGCGCTTGGCACATCCAAGATGACCGGCTAAACATCACTCAGCCATCGTGCTTTTAGTCTCAGCGAAGACTCCTGCAAAAGGTGTCAAGATAAACCAGACACAATTCAAAGCTGAGCCCCTGTTTACAAAAAGCTGTAGGTGAATTACGAGGCTTTGGGTAGTTCCTTCTATCGTAGCAGCAGCAGTTCCCAATAGGATGCAATTTAAAGGAGGCGTTGGTTTAAGAAGAGCAGCATGTTAATCTTGACATTTGCGCTAACTCTCACTTACAAAACTAGCATTTTAGTGAAACCGAAAGGTTGGTGGGGACGAAAAGTGCACTTGAGCTAGACATACACAGGATTGCAGGCCCCCTTCACTTTATGGCTCAATGCAGTGATATCCGATCCAGATGTACACCACGGGCTTGTCTCTCCAAGCATAAATAGAGCAACCAGACCATTTTTTAGATGCGAAGAGCATTATGTGTACATTGTCATCTATTTTAAAGCGCCCGGGTAACGCGCTATGATGTCTGTTAAAACATCATCGACAGAGAGAAACGCAAGGCTTTTCTTTTACAAGTTGTCTTCTTGTGTGACTTTTACAAGCTGAGTCCTTTGTTGAAACTGTGTTCGGATCCAAGTTAGAAAGACACATAGATACGTCATAAGATCTCTTCGACGCCTGCATGTCTAGGTCTAAATTGTTTCAGCTGTAAAAAGAATTGATCTTGTATCCAATCATTCCAGTAGTGGTGCTTCAAAGGCATCGAAAAGGTCTAGAGACTGGAAACGAAGTATTGATCAAACTGCTAAAAAACGGTCGAAAATTTACAGTAGAAATGCTCGCTATTGAATACAACACAGTGGTTTGCTCTATCGAATGACCTTGTTTAGTTGGCGAGGAATTGCTGAAAGACGGTGCTCTTGTGCAGGTCCTCGTGATCCCGGACGTAGTGCAGGAAGTCTCCAAACGCCTTCTCGCGCATCTCAATAGTTTTTTGAGATCGACGGCCACGCAGGAAGCTGACTACGCCGGGCTTTGGCAACACTGGTAGGCCACGTGCACTAGGCAGATCCAGAGCTCGGAGCTGCTCGTCCAGTAGCTTGAACTCTGAGTAGCGTTTGGGGATCGACATTGCTTGCTCACCGGTTGCATAATTAATCGCGTAGATGTGATACATGATCACGTTATTGGCACGCGTGACGCCCAGAATCTCGTATGTCAGCTGATCATATGGAATTTGCAAGGAATTGCGCTGAGGTGTTCCCTCAGTTTCCATAGCGTCGTCATTGACTGCCTTCGTCCCCTCATTTGAGGGTGCCGTTACTACAGAAGCTTTCGTAGTAACTTCGTACGCCAGCGCGCCATCATCGGTTTGTACACCGGGGGCTGGAGGGGAAGTCATCTCCCTCTCCATTGACTGCGAAATCTCTTCCTGCTTATCACCCTCAACCTGCGATTCCGTAATCTCTTCATACATGGCTTGCGTCTCCTCCACGAAGTCGCTTGAGTCTTCCTTGGTCACTGGCACAATGTTGTCCAATGCTTCGTCGGTAGTGAAATCAGCGGAAGTTGCGGCTTCTTCCATATCAACCAACGGTGTTGCAGATGGTGCAGCGTCTTCAGCATCTTCCTGGACATTTTCATCAGCCTCGTTCCAGGCCGCATCTACTTCTGGCGCATCAACGGACAAAATTGACGCCTCGGCCGGTTTGTAAACAGCTAAGATCGTTTGCGGCTCACTTGCTTCAAAATCAAAATCAGCCTCGGCCATATCAACTGGGACTTCTTCAACAGCCCCATAAGTCTCAGTTGCTACAAGAGCTATTGCATCAGCTCTCTCAATGGTGCCGGAGATTTCCTCCTTGATTAATGGCTCTATGTCCACATCCTCAGCCTCAGGTTCAGCAATATTCTCGACCAGTTCGATGTCGACAGCAAGAGTCTTCTCGACCTCGACCTCTGCGTCATTAGATTCGTCAATCGATTGCTGTTCTACCTCCCCCACTTCAGCGACAGGAGCTTCCACGATTGCATCACACTTTTCGTTTGAAACTTCGACCTCCAGGGTTGACTCCTCTGCATCGATCGCAACAAACGTTTCTTCTACCACAGAACTCTCTATGGCGGCTCCATCAACGTCAGTAGCAGCCAGGGTTTTCTCGTGAGCAACCGTCTCATGCAAAGTTGTAGCTTCTTCACAGACATCGTTTTCAGCTAGCGTCTCCTCGAATTCAAAAGACATGTCTACAGACTCCGCAACCTTGGCGGTTTTCTCGACCTCTGATACTTCTTGATCTACCTCGGCTGCAGTCAATTCGTCCTCATTTTTTGACTCCACGTGAACTGATCCTTCGGAATTCTCGATCGCCTTATTGCTTTCAACCACAGTCTCATAGCCGGTTCCACGGGGCCAACTCGAAGGCGGAGAGGAGAGCGGCGAAGACACACGAGAAGAAGTGCGAGAAGAAGTACGTGAGTTCGCAGCTTCCGTGGCATTGACCTTTGCAATGTGCTCAAAGCGGCCGATAAGCGCCGATACAGCGCTGATGGGCTTGGTGTCCACCTCAAAACTAGACTTCGAGCTCATGTTCTCCTCGTACTCGCTGACAGTTGACACAGTAAGATTGACTTCAACAGGCTTGTCTTCGGCTGAAGGTACCTTTAAAGCAGGTGTTTGCTTGGCTGGAGTGGCCTCGTCATCACCGACCTTGGCGATAGCCGAAGCAGTCTGGACTGTAGCAACAGCAGGGTTCGTGTCGACGGACTTCTCGGACTCCTCCACCTTCTCAGTCGCAAGATCATTCTCAACAGCTGCGGCTTCAACGTCGGCACTTTTTTCGAGCTGCACTTCATCTGTCTCGGTGACGGAAACCATCTCCGTATCGGCCTCTCGCACACCAACTTCAGCAATTTTCGTATTAGAAAAAGTCTTGATCTCGTCTACAATTGCTTCATCGGTCTCCGCGCTAGGTGCAACAGCTACAGTCTCGACTGCTGACACAACAACTTCAGTATCCTCGTCGAAAGGAGCAATGTCAGTCTCGGTTTCTTTCACATAAACTTCAGCATCTTCATCGATTGGGGCAGTCTCTGGCTCCATCCCTTTTCTTGCAGTTTCATCATTATCCACAACAGAAACCTCCTCAGCTTTGACTTTTGTCTCCGTCGTTACGCTGCTCTCCACCGCAATATCTGCCTCAATATCAGAGACCTCGGTTTCTTTGCCAGTGACCTCTTGCTTTTGTACAGCAGCAGTTGCCTCTTCAACTTCTTCATCAACAAGGGAAGCCTCTTCTTTGGTAACTTCCTCTGCCACTATCTCGCTATTGCCTTCGGCACTGACTTCGAGCTCAGGTGAAATCGCTTCGTCATCAGACTCAGAATCTGCTACGGCATCCACAACAACTTCTTCAACAATCAGCCCAGTTGCAAGACCTTCTACGGACAGATCCATGTCCTGTGTAACAGGCTTTGCTTTATCGAGACATTCGCTCTCAATAGCCTTCCATGTCGTCGTCTCAGTATCTCCTTCTTCAGCAACGGCTTTGATAGCGTCGGTCTCGACATCAGAAGTAACCTCTTCGCATGTGTCGACAAAAATTCGTTCGTCAGCAGGCTCTTCGTCAGTCGCAAGGGTAGCCAACCTTTCGTTCAAAGCACCTTCCTTGTCAGCATCTAAGGAGTCACAGTCATTGGCGACGACGACCTCTGTAAATATTAACGTAGCTGCTGCGTCGGCAGACACGTCCTTTTTTACATCATCGGACACAATCGTTTCCTCGTCCGTGGCCGTCCTCTCCGCCGTAGCAGCGACAGCTTCTTCATCGTTAAATTCAAGGCAAACCGCGTCTTCTGTAGCCGATTCAACAACCTCAACAACAACAGTGTGAGGACCACCAGTGTCTTCCGTCTCGACGCTCTTTATCTCCGCAGACATCGCTTCGACTCTGTCATTGTTTGCTGTTCTCATCGCCACCACCTCCACTTCAATAGACTGAAGCTGATTGATGTCTAGTTCAGTAAGTTCCTGCACATCCACAGCATACTTGGGCTCTTCTGCTGTGGACTCGACGTCAATCGCAACAGTTTCGCCGACCACAGCGTCTTGAGTTTCAACCGCCTCTAGCTTGGTCTCCATTAATTTCGTTTTGTTTGATGTCTTCTTAGTCCTCAACGACTTGTTGTTCATGGCTTGGTGTGCATCCTTTACCTCCTTCATCTCAGCAGCTGCAATCTTTTGTCTCAGTGGGTTTTTCCAGCTTCCTTTGACCTGGAATCTTGGGGAATGGCAGCAGAACCTTCCTGACTAATGCAGCGTCTTCAAGGACAGGCGCTTCAACGTCGTTGCCCACAATATAGATACACTAAACGACCGTCTCAGCTACGCGTCCTTCTTGTCGACCGCCGTTCGACGTTGCCTTGTTGTAGCATAACAAATTCTGAATGAGTCTAGAGAGCTTGAAGACTTTCTTCTTCTTATGTAATGCTGCTGTTAAACAGCCGTCTCTTCGATGAGAGACATTCGTGGTGGCGATAGACGTTTCAAATGAAAACTCGACCACCGATTCAATGCCTCTGACGTGACGGGTTGAGCGTACATTTCTGCCCGGACAGGCTCCGCACCAGTGAATTCTTTGTCGACAGCCTCTGTAGTTACTTTTAATGTTCAGTCATGGCAGTCTCGTCATCAAAATTGGGAGACTCAACTACAGCCGCGGCCCGTCCGCTACGTCTTTTCGAGGGCGATGGTTTCGTCATGAACGTTCCTAAAGCAGCGACTTCCTTCAAGAGAGAAAACGGACCGACAACTTGAGTCAATCACGTCAGTCTACAACTCAGTCCTCGGCAGTCTCAGTATCACCGAACGATGTTGCGCTCCGCGACAAAGTCTTCGGTGAGTTCGAGACATTTCAGATCAATACCAAGGTACAGAAGGTTGAGGCTCTCTCTGTCGCTGTCGTTGAGGCAGCAGATATTGAGGAGGAAGTAGAGCCGAAATAACTCTCGCAAAGGTTGAAGCGAGGGCTTCTTTGAAAGATAAAGAGCTTGTTACAGCCGTCACGGAGACTGCAAAGGTGCTTTATTCTACAGACTGCCGCTACTACCCGGGAGACAACGGTGAAGGGTGTGAATCTGCGAAGAAGGACAATGGTGCTTAGCTAATTGGTGACCTAATTGTAGCAAGCCAGTCCAGAAGGAGAGAGTTGCCAAGCCTTATAGGATATATAAGCTGTTGAAGAAGGTCGCTGAGTCGATTTAAGAGAGAAGGTCGAGAAGAGGGGTTTTGCAGAAGATTGCTACGCCAGGTATGCATGAGAGGAATGCAAACCCATACAAAGGGAAGACTGGGGAAGAGTCATTCAAGCCTGTTGAAGTCACTGCAATAGGAAGATTGCTGTCTTTGATGAAGAATCTGGGTAAGATCATGGCAGTTGTAAAGGAATGTCAGCTATTGTCATTGAGGACCTGTTACTGTAGTGAAGACTGAAGCTGTAAACGAGGCATACAACCGACGACATCGAGACAAAGGACTTGATCGTGTAGCGACTGGACATTGCTGATAAGCCCTCATCTGCTTTCATCTCGAAGAAGAAGGAAGGGACTGAGCTCGAGACGAAGGAGACAACGTGCGAAGAAGTCAGTCACCTCCAACTACACTAAACATCATTCGCAGCGTCAATTGTTCGCTCAGAGTCACCTAGGTAGTGTCCGAGAAGCTCGTGAAAGACAGTATATAGTGCAGCAGCAGCAACTTTGCAGTGGTACTGGATTTCAACAGGGGAATCTGAAATAGTAGGTTACTATTATACTCAATTTGTTATCGGTAGTATCAGTTTCCGGTGCTGAACGACGTCACAACCGCTCGTATCACGGTCTTTTTTATGACCGGATGGTTTATAGCACTAACGGATACTTTGACGAATAATACTGGCGTGTGGACAGCTCATAGACGAGGTCATTTGCATCTTGCAACTTATCTGCATAATGGTGAGATTACCAGCACAGGTGACTAAATGTATAATCATCAGTCATTCATCCAACTGTACTGATAATCTCGCCTTATGGCAAATAAAGGGTGGGTTTCTTCTCGCTGCGTGCGTTATAGGAGGCAGCGCAGCGCAGGCCTTGAAAGAATAGCGATCCGTAGGATAGTCTAGGTGTAGAACAGGTCAACGATGGATCACATCACCCTACGCAGCGATTGGTTTCTACCCTTCCTGGTCTGCCTACAGTACGCATCACTGACTTGAAGCATTTCATTATAGAGGTCTCTTGAATATTTATAATTGTCAGACAGTACAGATATCACAGTCTTATGGTCTTGAAGGACCTGGCAAGCCATTCCTGTCGATACAATAGTTCTGGAAGGACATTAGACAGTAACAACTTGACGAATAGACTATCTCTATCGTTATAGTCCATATACCACAACAATGGCCATATAGAGCTGGTCACGCGTCTCTAGGGCTCCCCTACTAATTACATATAGTGTTCTGCGACAATCATTCCTTTTTGTCGGCCGCACCCATTGTCTCCTAAAGATTGCATCAATTGTACACTATTGCACCTGCTTTTGTACGTAATCACCCGTTACCTACTTGTCTGCAATCATTTTCCATTCAATGACGCTTTCCCCTATGTTTACGGCTATAAATAGCATCATCTCGTCAGTCAGTCGTTAACATTCCGACACCGTGACAAACATTCCTCACCATTTTGTCATGGACCGGGATACAAGCGACAGCATGAATGATGAGTCCTCTCAATATCATCGTTATGATCCCTCACCTTTAGCACGACTTACAGAGCCCATTCACACGTTGCCAGCAGCTCCAAGTCCCAATCCTTGGAGATATTTTCATCGGTATCAAACAGTGGACGTCTTAGCACGAGAACCTCTCGGTCCATCAAATGTCCCAAAGGAACGACTTCATGCTGATTTGTTTCGAACTTTTACATCCAATGAGCTGTTGAATTATCGACCGAGATTGCTACACGATGACGTCAAGAATGCCTTGAATCGACAGGATAGTGTACCCCTGGTTACACCGGGTTACTTTCAAAGTGAAAGTTTACGGACATTTTATCGGAATTTACCACGTTCGTTACGATTTCGTCAAAATACCCGCTCGACAACGCGATATATTGCTCCAGCTAATGCCGTTTCATTGAGATCTCGTGTACGGGCACGGAAACAAGAGGAACAAGCGAGAAATGAAGGATCGAAAGATAAAACAAGTGTCGTAGAGCCTCAGCGAGAATGGACGGACTTTGAGCGAGAGATGGCCAATATTCAGACAGAGACACAGACAGTAGCAGGATCAATTGGAGGACAGTCTATGACACCTAAAGGAAGCAATCGAATGCTTGATAGGATGAACAGTTTAAGGTCTACGGACTCACAGGGTGTGGCTACTGGATGTCGTAAACGGTACAAGATTATCAAGATTAATGACGGGATAAATGATTCGAAGCGTGAGAGGATTCCAGAAAGTTTAGATGGAGAAGAAAGAGAAGACTTTTTTGTGTCCAATGAAGTCACCACATCACAGTACACGTGGTGGAGCTTTGTTCCTGTCTTCCTGTACTTGACTTTCCAGAAGACGGCCAATTTGTATTTCTTGCTGATTGGTATTCTCCAGATGATTCCGGCGGTTTCTCCTACTCAGGGGGTCCCTTTACAATTTGGCCCTCTTGCGATCGTAATCGTCATTGATGCCGTCTTTGCCGGCTATGAAGATTACAAGCGACACATGGCAGACGACCTTGTCAACTCGGCCAAGACGCATGTGTTCAATCGCCAACTGCGCGAGTTCGAAGAGGTCGAATGGCGCGAGATCAAAGTAGGAGACTTTGTCAAGGTGGCCAATCGCGAAATTTTGCCGGCGGATATCATGATCATGGCTGTAATCCCTGCTGAAGGAGTACGCGCTGACGGGAACACAGGTCTGTGCTACGTGGAAACGAAGAATCTTGATGGCGAGACAAACCTCAAAATGCGCGAGGCGCCCTCGTGTACACGAAATGTGTTTATGAATGAGGAAGAAGCCGGGTACATTATTCAAGGATATGTGGAGAGTGAGCTCCCAAATGGTGATATTAATTCATACGTGGGTACGATGTATCTGGATGAGAATTTGAATGGGGCTAGTGCTGAGGGGGTCCCGCTCACATTGAAGAATATGCTGCTTCGTGGTAGTAAATTGCGCAACACAAGCTACGTGTATGGTTTGGTGGTGAACACTGGTGTCGACAGCAAGATTATGATGAGTTCTGGCGACGAATTTTCTGTAAAGATTTCGTCGATTGACGAGATGACCAATAAGCAAGTGATTGTAGTGGTCGTCATTTTATTTCTAATGTCGCTTATTGGTGCCATCGGAGACCGATCACGGATGGAAAACCCTATCGTTCCAGTATATTTGCAATTAAAAAGCTGGCGTGACGGTTTCATCGTTATGTTTGTTTACTTTTTCATAACACTCGCCTCAATGGTGCCAATTACGCTCTATGTGTCTATCACGCTTGTGAAAGCTCTGCAAGGATATTTCATGGAAAACGATCTGGATATGTATGACGAAGAGAGCGATACCCCCGTCAAGGTTCGCAACATGCAGCTCAACGAGCAGTTGGGTCAGATTTCACACATCTTCTCGGACAAGACGGGCACGCTCACTTGTAATAAAATGGAATTTCGGAAGTGCAGTATCGGCGGTCGGAGTTACGGCAAGGGAACTACGGCTATTGGTATTGCTGCCCGCATGCGAAATGATTTTGGAGGAGATCGAACTGTGGACGAAGAATCCGCGAGTGAGATCAATGTGGATGCACACATGGAAATTCCAGCCCTTAATGTAAATTTTAAAGATAAGACCATGTGGCAAGATATGCAGGCCAAGGATGACCAACAAAGCGGAAAGATCGAAGAGTTTATGACCCTGCTGGCGTTGTGCCATGGCGTTTTGATTGAGCGCTTTGATCCAACTGAAGAGGATACAAGCCCTTCTGTTAAGTACTCAGCTTCTTCCCCGGATGAACTCGCTCTTGTTTGTGGTGCCAAGTACTTTGGTTACGAGTTTGTAGACCGCAAACCTGGAAGTGTGTCGATCAAGAAACCCGATGGTGCCGTGAATCAGTACGATATCCTAGAAGTCTTTGAGTTTGACTCGACTCGAAAACGCATGTCTGTTATAGTGCAGCGACGGAAACGCGACGATGAACTCCGCTTGATGTCGGAAAGCGACGAGGACGACGTACTAGTATTTACCAAGGGAGCTGATAGCATGCTATTCCCTCGCCTCAATCCGATGTCTGCAAACAATGAACAAATTCGTGAAGCAACAGAGAAGCATTTGGAAGCTTTCGCACAAGATGGGCTCCGAACACTGGTCGTTTGTACGAAAACACTTAAACCTCAAGTTTGGAAACAATTTCACGCACAATATCGCCAAGTATGTGCTGATCTAAATGAAGTTGAGGCGAAGTCACGTGGTGAACCAAACGAAATTGACAAGCTTCAGGATCAGCTGGAGTCAAACCTGGAATTACTTGGTGCTACTGCTATTGAAGATCGCTTGCAGGATGGTGTACCCGAAACAATGGAATCCTTAGCTAAAGCTGGAATTTGTATATGGGTGCTTACGGGGGACATGGAGGAGACGGCCATTAACATTGGTTACGCTTGCCGCTTGCTTAACAATGACATGAAGCGACACGTGATCAATGCGGCAAAGTATCGGACGAAGGGCTCAATTTTACGAAAGCTTGATAAGATTTTCCACTCAATTTACGACGCTAATGGTGATGCTTCGCATTCATCACCTGTGGCTGCTCACTCGGTCTTATCGCCGTCGTCTGGCCAAGTTGAGAACGCGCTCGTTATTGACGGCGCGTCGCTGAACAAGATCTTGGATGACCCGCTACACAACTTACACCTTCTTCGTGTGTCGCTTCTGTGCAAGGTCGTGGTCGCTTGTCGTGTATCGCCTCAGCAAAAAGCCCAGCTGGTCGAATTAGTGAAGCTAAATGTTCCCGAGTCACATACGCTTTCGATAGGTGACGGCGCCAATGACGTTCCTATGATTCAGAGTGCTCACATTGGAATTGGTATTAGTGGCCAAGAGGGTTTGCAAGCTGTCAACAGCTCCGACTACGCGTTGGGTCAGTTTCGATTTTTGCGTAATTTGATTTTGGTTCATGGACGGTGGAATTACAATCGCATCTCGGCACTCGTCGTGTACACGTTTTACAAAAACATTGCTTACAATGTGTCCATGTTCTGGTACGCGTTGTGGCCAACGGCGTACTTGGGCACGATGGTTTACTCAGCATTTATCCAGCAGGGCTACAACCTTTTCTTTACGGCTCTTCCGATTGTTGTTTTTTCGGCCTATGACAGAGATCTGCCAAAGAAAACGGTGCTGGAGTTTCCAACTCTGTATCACGCAGAGGTGCGCAAGACAAGCTTTTTCTCATACGTCATGTTCTGGAAGTGGATTTTACTGGGTATTATCGATTCTGTCGGAATTTACTACTCGATTTTAGCAAGTGGCTGGAATATCGAACGCGGAGGCAATTCAATCGAGTTACTGTCGATGCAGACCCTCGGCTGGACTATACTAACCATCGTTGTCAATGCACGGTTTTGTTTAATGGTGAACTCATGGGACGTTCTTGAGATTGGAAGCATGACTATTTCGATTATGATGATTTACATGTGTCAATATGTGGTTGACCAGATCAACTGGTCGTACGACACGGATTCGTTGCCGTGGCAATTCGGCCGCCCTCAATTCTGGCTTGGCCAATTATTTGCCGTCGTTGCCATTTTGCTCAAGGACTTCTTTTATGCGGTGTATCGTCGTCGTTTTGTTCCAGAGTATATAGATCTAGTGAAGGAGTCACAAGACGAAAAATCCTTGATTTCGCGCGAGAAATTGGCGGAGTATAAGCCTCGTCAGGTCAATTATCTGAACCCGGAGCTGGCTGGTATGATTGACTACGAGGACCGTCGCGTGCATGAGAGTGTACCCGTTAGGTTCACGGCTCCTGGCCGTTCAAAGCTGTATACGGGCTTCGCGTTCGACCAGCCAGCCAACATCGTTAACTGGATCTTGACTGGAACGAACAACAACGGAGGTCAAGATTGTCGAAAAAGTATAAACGCGGATGTACGCAACGCCATTTTGAACTCGAACGACCCAGTATTCTTCGAGAACCAGCGCTACCAGCCATTTTGTGGATATGGCAGCTCGTTCCCAGGCTACCTTTTGCCGACAGATCGCAAGCGTTGGAGCGATCGTTCAGGCAAGACAAGCGCTCAAGTTATTCCTTTAGCTGGCTTGGAGCTCAACCTGGACGTACCTTGGTGCGATGCCGACGGTTGGGTGTACGAGAACGACTTTGCCTTCTTTCCTTCGACGCCTTCCAATGCGGACGATACAGAGGAGGACGATGAGGATCTAAGTGTGAGTCCTGCTGACATGCGAAGCAGCACGAACGTGCTGTCATCTCGAAAGAAGAACAAGAAGAAAAAGGTTAAGAAGCCGCGTCCGCACCACGGTTTGGTGCGTCGTCGCGAGTGGAAGCTCTCGGAGGAGTACAAGACGCAGGAGGAGGCTCGACGATCATCGAATTTCAGCAACATTTCTGCGGTGCAAGTTGACGACGAGGCTAGACAGTCGAAACTATCTACCTAAGGTGCTGATGTTATCGACAGGGGCTACAGAGATACGATATGTAAGATTCGCCATGTAGATCGATTAGTTAACTAGTACATTGAGCAAGTGCATTCAGTGGTACGTGACAAGTAAAGCTTTGGTGTGCGGAACGAAGCGACTCGAGAAGAGAAGGTAATTACTGAGCAAACGACGTGAACGCGTCGGTCTCAGCCAGTTCCACGTCATTGGCAATAGCGTTAAGCACAATAACCAGCTGCGTCTCGCGCTTCTTGATCACGACCGGATTGTGCTTGCCGCGCAGCTTGGTACCAAGTCCAGAATCAGGAAGCGCTGGTAGACTCTTGAGACTGCCCAGTTCCACCACCAGAGCCTTAAACTCACTGAAGCGCTTCTTAAAGCTGACGTCACCCTCGACAGTCTCAACGATGTAAAATACTACGCCGGCCTCGTCAATCTCGTGACCCGTGATCTTATAAAACTCCTTGGGGGGCTCCTTGAGCGTGGCTGCTTCTGCCTCCGGCTCCGCTGTCTCCTCCTCCTCCTCAACATTAGGTGTGGTCTCGTTGACCGCAGTCTCGATGATATCCACCTGCTCCACAGTGACAGGCTCCGTCTCAGCTGGAACGTCGTCAGTCTTAGCTGGAGTGGCCTCAGTCTCAGCTGGAGTGGCCTCAGTCTCAGCTGAAACGGCCTCAACCTCCGCTGGAATGGCCTCACTCTCAGCTGGAGCGGCCTCACTCTGAGCTGGAATGGCCTCACTCTGAGCTGGAGTAGCCTCCGTCTCAGCTTCCAGCGAATTTGTAGTAGCCACTTCCTCGGTCTTGGATTGCGCACAGCCCATTGGTATTGGATTGATAGATAGGAAGCCGAGTCAGGACTTGAGTAGATCGAAGCGAAATCGATAGTGAAGAGGAAAAGTGAATGCCTGCACCACAGCTTTGCATCGTCGAGAGAGGAGGTAAGAGAACCGATCGATCGTACAGCTGGAAAAAGGCGGAGCCTATACGAAATAGAAAACATGCTGGTAGATCGGACGATGTTACACACGTTGAAACGATGCAGTGTGGCTTTCAGCCACTTATCGCGTAGATACGAGCGTCTTGCGATTCCTAAGTGAGAGTCACAATCACGATGAACAACGTCTAGCGTGGCGTCGCTTATAGTGGGACAGTGGTCACATTCTGACACAGAAGTACCACCGAGTGCTAGACTTTCCACGGCGTTCTGGAGATAGACAATACCACGAACAAGCAATCATTGCATAGGATGATTTGCCTTGCCAATTCGCGTGCAAAGGGTGATGAGGGCAATTTAGAGCCATGTGCCGAAAGCGTCATACGGGCTCGAAAAAGAGGCGGATACAGTCTGTACCGATTGTCACAGGGGACTTATGACCGTGATACATGTCATAATCGGAGCACTGCAGAAAGGGGAAGGGAGAATAAAGATATCTGGTTATTATAGAGTAAGTGATTCTGTACCACGTTTTACGTTAGTCACTAAAGTCGGGTGTAGGTTGGAAGGACAGAAACATGTGCTTTGTGTTGCATCCTGGACGGTATGTGACGTATCGAAATATGAAAATGTCATTGCACGCACGTTACATGACGGGTGTACACTACATCGAGACTACAAAAGGATGAATCATCACTAATCGTGTTCATTACGATCATGTTTCGAGATGATCGAAAATTGCTGACACACAGCTATAAAATATATTTACCAGACACTCCCACGGAATGTGGGTTATGGACAACGCTCCTACTAGCTGCTTCCTCACTGTGTTTACTCGCCTGACGTCGCAAACGGGTCTCCTATCGACACGGCCAAGCCCTTTCCTAAAAAAAAATACGATATATAAGCGATACGGGGGACTACTATCTAGGGCCCTAGAGCTCGAACGCCGAGTGTACCTTCAGCAGCGATCGCAGCTCGTAGTGAGCCACGCTAGCGCTTGGGCGGTCGCTTGCGTTAAAGCTGAGGCAGCGGTTCACCAGGTTACGAATGTCCTCGGGGCAGTTAGAGCCAAGGTCCGGCTTTTCTTCACTCGTGACCTTAAGGACAACCAGCGCGTTGGTTACGCCGTCGAACGGCTTAGTACACGTGGCCAGCTCCGTCATAATCACGCCAAAGGAATACAAATCAGCCATCTCCGTGTACCGCTCACCGCGCAGTATCTCGGGTGCAATCCAAGCCATTGTACCGATACCTGCAGTCATCGTGGTATCCACCTGCCACTCACGACTTATACCAAAGTCGCTCAGCTTGGCCTCGTAAGACGAGCTGAGTAGCACGTTCTTGGACTTAAGATCGCGGTGAATAATAGGTGACGGGAACGAGTGAAGATACACGATTCCCTCAAGCACATCCAAAGCGATCGAGGCTTTCGATGGCAGTACTGATGAGTTCTGGTACCAGTCAAATTCATCCGGATACTGTTCTTGTCGATCGCGCTGCTGTTTCAGCAGCATATCAAGGTCACCATTAGCCATGTACTCCATAAGCACAGCCATGTCGGACAGCATACTCCAGCTCACACCGATAAAGCGCACAATTTTTGCATGAGACAGTGACGAAATTAGCTTAATCTCCTCAATGAAAGCGCTTAGACATCGGTCGTCCGCTGCCTTCTCTGGCAAAATCTTCTTCACTACCACTGAGCGGCCTTGGTAAGACGCAAGAAACACAATGCCATACCCACCCTTCGCAATCGTTCGTTGGACTTGGACCTCGCTCGCGGGTACACGGTATTTAACGAGGGCCGACTCGGTGGACGTTCCACCCATCATTGTCACCTTGGCCCCACCATCACCAAACATCGTATCAAATGACTTGGTTTTCTTCGGTTGGCTGCTAAGGTGGTTTCCTGCAGAGTGCGTACCCGTGTTTATCGTGTCATTCGCAAAAAAATCGGTCTCGTTCCCTTCTCGAGGAGTGTCCTTGTTTTCTTTTGCTCGGTACGTCCTGAACGCAAATGCTGCAAGTGCCACAATGAGCACAGCCGCCAAACAGATCATCACGATGAGGACGGTAGAGTTGCTATTGCTGCTGGCTACCGATGTAGTCGTGCTCTCCTCACTCGAGGCAGACGCTTTGCCGTAGGTGCTCTTAAACAATTCATCCGAGATGACACAGATGCTGTAGCCTGAAACTGCAACCAGTTCAGCGCCCGATGTAGAGCAGGAAGTCTGCGATACTACTGCGTTGAATACCTCTAGGTCCTTAAATGTGGAGTAGTCCGAGCGAGAGATCTCAAAGTCGGCAATCTCATTGCTGCCAAGATCCAGCTTCGTCAAAGCTAAGGGGAACAAAGTTCCCCGAATCGACTCAATGGGATTGCCTGATAAGTTAAGCGACGCGATGCTGGATGGGAACGCGTACTCGGTCAGCTTTGAGATTTTGTTGTCCGTCGCTGTAATTTGTACTACAGTAGAAGGAAATTCAATTGGCATGGACGTGACAGCATTAAGCGAAAAGTCACTGTAGCAACACCAGGAAACTCCGTCAGCACAAATTTTATTTCACAACCAAACATGACAAAACGTACATGAACTTCAAGCTGTTCGGAAACTTGACGCCGTCCAATCCGGAAAGACCTGAATCCACAAGTGACAAATACTGAATGCTGTCGGGGAACGTCGCTCCATTCAGATTCGACAGCTGTAAATTGTGGATGTACAGCAACTCGAGCGACGACGGAAACAAGACATCCGCCACAGACGTGAGCGGATTTCCGCCAATGTACAGTTGTGTCAAGGTGTCTGGCAGACTCATGCCGTCAAATGAACCGATCATGTTCCAGCTCAAGTCCAAGAATATGACGGTGTTGGGAATCGCCAAGTTTTTAAACGTCGCGATTGTGTTTGACGTCAATATCCTGTATAGACAACAACAAGTCAACTGTCAGTCTACTAATCAGCCATTCACATCATCCAACCAGCCAATATCCGTACAGTTTTTCAAGTGCCGTTGAGTCCGTTAACGATAGCGACGATATGTTATTGAGCGACAAGTCACTACAGAATTTTATCAAAAAAGCGTTAGCACAAGTAGGTACTTCCCACCTCTTCCATCCCATTATCATCAGAGAGACGCACAGTGTCTTGACATTCGGAACGCTCAGCACCTTCTTAATGCCCATATCACTTGCAACCAGTGTGTTCTTGGTCACGGCCAATTCTTTCTCGTCACAGCCAGCAGTAACAAGAATTGCCGTGCTGTCATCACTACCAGCAGTAAGCACCACAGTTCCCTCAGTTTTGCAGACGGCTGCATCTGTAGCGGCCGCCAGCAACAGCAGTGCGGTCGTCGTGATTAGGAAAATCACGTTCATGAAGTTTGTACGGCTGTGGGAGGGAGAGAAGACGTCCAATTGACACAGACACAGCACAATTCGATGTGGAAAGATCTCAGCTTCGCAAAGAGACACTTGCGAGCCTTGAGAACGCTGTGAAAGCGGAAATAAGAGGCTTCAAATAAAGCCGAGGAGCAAGTACTCGGGAGATATGCAGAATATGAGAAAGAGTCAGAAGTGGAGGACTGACTTCAAAACGAGGAGATCTCAATGTGTCGAGGCTACGTTCGACTTGTCTGATTGGACTATATTAGTCATTTTACGATATGGGATTGGATGAAAAGAAGAAAAAAAGTCTGCGATAGTAGTGTGGCACGTATAAATAGTATTGCATATTTCGAGATAAACATCCATTTAAGTACGATAATAAAGCTACTATGCAGCGACTCGACCCCTCTTCTGCGTTATCTCCAGTTAAACGAGGAGGTAATTGGTCAACAATTACCCTTCATAGTGTGTAAATCTACGTACATTAAATGCAGCACGACTCCGGCCAGAGGACCAGCATGGCGTCATGTCGAAAGCACTTAATGACGGAAAGGCTGCGGCGGAAGTAATGGCAAAATTGGCTCGTTTTTATAGCATTCGATTATAGGCTGATTAGAATAGAGACACTGGCGCGGACGACAAGAGCAGTGCAACTTGTCCCGAATTAGTTGTCCCAAGCTGCAAGTTTTATCCGCATGCTATGCTGTCTACTTAGAAATATATTGGCCGAGATCACCGTGCTACAAATCACATGATAATAGCTCTGTTTCTACTCTCATGGCGTAGGTTGCAAGGTTGACGATACCAATACTAGCTGCGACCTACTGTAGATACCACCACTAGATGAATCCTTTTTGATGACTTGGTGGAGTTTTATTCCAGTCTTCGGTGTTGATGTTTTGCTTTCATCGTTAGCAACAGATACATTGTCCTTACTCGGTCAGTTTTCGTCATAAACATATATCCATGTCGTCGCATTATTTGCAACGGTCCATGGAGGACCTTGTAATGTTGATACTAGCACATAATGCTGTTCTTTCGAAAATGCTGCGAGTGATGCCCATACCATCTCATACAGCATTTTGCGCTTGTGCTGTAGAATTCACAAGCAGGACCGAGACACGCAATATCTTTTTCTACGTTCGATAGCTATTAAATCTCATGTAAACTTTCTTGAGTTGTCTGCTGGACGCTCCTTTGTCTGCTGGATGTTAACAAACATGTGGACGCTATATTCAGATCATCACTGACGGAATAAAGGATCTATATCCTTTTTATGCCACTAAACAATGCACAGCTTCGTTTCCAGCACTACAAACTGTGAGCATTTGTGAGGTGGAGCTGCTCGTGTAAGTTCAAACCATTGACCGCCGCATTTGATACTGAGCCCTATGCCACGCCGTTAGCCTCTCATGGCTCAAGTTACTTTGTATGAACGTGTGCTGTCACGCGCTGGCGCTGCAGTGCTCGACAACAATGAGGATAAGGATAAAGCGCAATTGTAGTCGAAACTGGGCTATTTTCTAGACCATTCAAAAGTGGCAACATGCAAATGAACCGTGACGTTTCCAGGGAATACACTACGCTTCTCGTCGGTCAGATAGACTTAACGCTTCATTAAACACATAAGCCGAAGATGACAGATTTCGTTAGTTCGTGACGCAACGTCGATTCCTGACAAGTTTATCTCGATATATGTGTCGTTTTAATTTAAGTCCGTACATTCGTTTGATTAGTAGTTTAACTCTTGATACTATTTTTCATTGTGCAGCACAGAGAACTAGTTGAGCTTTCGTTAAAGGTTAAAAGCCCAACTACATTGGCTCCTAGTGACTTTCTTACAAAAATACATCTACTTTATGAGAAACCTAATGCACGCATGACACTCGCGCGCTAGGATCTTCTGGATTACGTTTTGATTAAGCTAGAGCCAGTAGCAAAGTCCCAAGTTTCTGAGCGATCGAAGGCATTTCGTGCTATGGTAGCAATGCACACGGATTGCAAGATTAATGCATCCGTAGTGACAATGGTGGGGAATATACGAGTGATCGCTCTAACAAGTGGTGAGTCGTTACATATTACTGTATTGACGCTTATATGAAGTGTCAATAAAAATATGGGAGCCGCTAAGTACACAGACGTTAATACTACGGTCACAGACATTTATACTACGGCCACAGCTGGGTGAGATCATTCACCAACCGATAGTCGATACACAATCGAATATCGACCCCATTCTTCTTTACGATAATCACAATTGGGCTGGCCCATGGCGAGGTGGAAGGCTGAATGATCTTTGCCGATAACAGTCCCTTGATCAGGTCGGCTAGCTTCTCTCTAAATTGAGGGGCCACCTTCCGTACGCGTTGCGCGATCGGTCTTGCGTTCCCCACATCGATATCGCATATCGCTCCTCGGGCGGCCGGGGGTAAAGCGTTACCTTTGCCCATCAGCAGATGTCGTTTCTTCCATATTATTTGTCGCAACCGGTCCACCTCTTCGGGAGTGTTCCCATCTGGATCAGGAATCTGTATATCTTCTAACACAATGCCTTCAGATGAGGGGTCCACTTCCGGTACGACCGCCCACCCTGGCCTTATGTCTTCGGCCCAACGTTCCCCACTCTCGAAAGAACACACCTGGTCATCTGCCTGTAACAAGTCTACCGGTTTGGCTTCCTTCTCATTGGTGGTGGTCACTGCATGTAGGTCTTCTTTAGCTACACTCCGCTCCTGGGCGGACCCCTTCTGCCAATTCACCTTCTCTTCGCACGGTTGTTCTTCTCTGTCGGGTACCGGTTGGTGTGCCATATTCATTATTGAGGCTGGGGCCGCTGGTCGCTGTAAGATGTGTGATGGAGTCTCATACTCTGATCTCTCCACTAGTGGCCCCTCTTACTCTTCCGTTGGGTCGACCTAATGGTCGACTTGGTCAGTGGTAGATTCGTAAGCCATATTTATCTATTCCGAATATCTTCGAGAGCCCACCGAGAAAAACCCTGGCGTTCTTGGCACTTGATCCCTGGTCAACCACATACCTATCTTGGTATCCTCGTGTAATATCAAGAGGCGAAGGCTGACGTTGGTTATCCTCAGAAATATGTTTACGTCCTATCCCTTCGATCAAGGTGGTCGCCCATCGTTCACCTCTCATGAACCACAATTTCCACTGTTCTGAGGTCGATCTTTTGAGAGGCACTTCCGTACATCCTCCAACAGGTATCTGTACATACCGACCCAGCTTCACATCCGATACTCAATATATGGTAAAGCGTCCTTCACCCGGTCAATTGTACTCGAGCTTCATCGGGGAGACAGAGGGTTCATTTGCCAAGTCTAACCGTATACCGGCGGGGACCATGAAATCCATCCCCAAAATTGCGTCTTGACCCACCATAGGGCCTACCCACACCTTTAAGATGTACACCAAGTTCCCATTCAGAGTGACCTTGATGCGAGTGGGCCCCTCCGTAGTATATACGGCTTCCCCAATACCATACACTGTTGTCGTTCACTTTCATCAATTTGGCAGCCTACCTTACGAGCAAAGGCGATATCCAGGATGGATATCTCGGCACCAGTATCGAACAACAAATCTGCATGGTCGTTGTTGACCTTTCCAGAGGCTTTCGCTTGCCTGAAACATTTAGTGGGGGCGTGGTATATCCAGTACCCCCTAGACTCGCCTGCCAATAAGTCCAACTCCATTACTGCATTTTCTCGGGCAAAATTGTTAGGCTTATTCAAAGAAGCAACATGGACCAAAGGGTAATTTCCAATCTTCGATATATTCCCAATCTTAACTGGCATACCCATCTCCTCCTTGGGCTGTTTTTCCACATATGCAAAGATACAACAATTAGAACGCTCGGCTCGTACCAGATTCAAACCTGGCGAGCTTCCTAATTTGCCATCTTCTCGAGTTTCTCCGGGAACATTGCTGCATGCTTGGCTGGGTTATACCATTGACGGAACAAATTGTAGAACTCCTCCATCTGGCACTTCCCAATCTCGTGAATCTCTCCACAACCCCGGCATACAAACAGGAATCGATCTGATGGATGACCATTTCTTCCAGGTCAATCGTTTCCAACAATTCAGATCTCCGTGTTTCTTGGACCCTCAATAAGCACATCTTGTATTTGGGACCGCTGACGAC